CTTTATTTGGCTTCAAAAACAGAATATTTTATATATATTATATATATATATATACATACAAATACATAAAAATATATATTTGTTGTTGTTAGTTGCTGTCAAGTGGATTCTGACTCATGGTGGCCCCATGTGTGCAGAGTAGAACTGCTCCACAGGATTCTCAAGGCTGTGCCCTTTCAGAAGCAGTTCTCCAGGCCTATCTCCCAAGATGCCTCTGAGTCTCTCTCTCTCTCTCTCTGAAAGGGGGAATAAAGTAAGTTTTTTGGGGGCAAGACAAAACAGCAAGAACCAGCCTTGGATCTAGACATAAGTGGCAAGCCAGAAACAATGTACCTGTGATTCATTTTCCTGAGGTCAGAACAGCAAAATTACAACCCCATTGTGTTAGAATAAATAAGTCCCCTATCCACGGTCAAGGAGCCCTGGTGGTACAGTAGTTAAGAGCTTGGTTACTAACCTGAAGGTCTGCCGTTCGAATCTACCAGCTGCTTCTTGGAAATCCTATAGGGCAGTTCTGCTCTGTCCTATAGTGTCGCTATGAGTCAGAATCTACTCAACAGCAATTTTTTTTTTTTTTAACCTACAATCAAAGACCTCTAGGCTAAACCAGAGTTTGCTCCCAGGGCATCCTATTGCTCCCAGGTAGGATCACTATGAATTCTAGCTACGAGTGAGTGACAGACCCCAGGCTGCCTACGACTTGGGAATGGAGGGGATGTCCCACATCTCATTCACATTTGATTAAAAAAGGCAGGGGTGCTGACCATACCCACTAGTGACATGGACAATTCCCGGGATAAAATACAAAATAGCACAATCATAAATATTGTTACAATGAGTTCCCCTTAGTATGCCCATGTGTGACTATGAGCTAGCATAAATGCTGAGGTAACAATCTAATAACCAGTAAAACTGAGAAGTGTTCTAGCAGCTGCTGGAGAAACACGTAAACTTACCACTGGAAGTAGTAATTCTTAGAATTTTTATGGAAACTCAAATCCTTTAGAGCAAGGGATGAAAAGCACTGAATACTGTTTACAGGAAAATGTGCAAATATATAGGTTTGGAAATTTTCCACACAATTACAAGGGTTTCACAAAAGTCTTGAAGTCAATGACTCCAAGTAAAGAGTTGGTTAGGCATATTAGTATGTGCAAAAACAGAAAAGGGCAGAGAACAAAGATGGCTACTTTTGCACTTAGAGATTATAAAGCCTTAATGAAAATACCTAATTAAAGACAGGTGAATAAAGATTTTCTCATTCAAGAGAGGATAATGCCATCATGATGAAATAGAAATAGACAAGAATGAGACTGTATGTATGAGCCTTGGTGGCACACTTGTTAAAATGTTCGGTTGCTAACTGAAAGGTCAGCGGTTCTAACCCACCAGCTGCTTCACAGAGAAGGATGGGGCAGTCTGCTTCAGTAAAGATTTACAGCCTTGGAAACCCTATGGGGTAGTTCTACTGTGTCCTATAGGCTTGCTATGAGTAGGAATCAACTCGATGGCAGTAAGTTGTGTTGCGTAGACTTCTTGCAAAAGTAAAGCTGCCGGCATTGAAGGGAGCTATATCAACTTCCACATGGGATTTGACCATGGTGAGTTCAATGAACAGATGTTTAAATCACTATATTTGGTCAATTTTAATCTGATATTGACTTTTGTGTCTAGGCCTTAGGATGATCATCGCCTGTGTAGCATCTCTTAGAACATGTTTACCTACTGCCTTTATAGGAGTTCTATGCACATGCCTGCTCATCTTGCCCCTTCTCATCTTGCACATTGCCTTACACATAGTTAAAGCTCAATAAATATTTGTTAAGTCTAATAAAAAGTAAAGGATAGTTAGTTGCCCCAAGTCACATAAGTTGTCAGAGGCAGAGCTGTAATTCAAACCACTATTGTCTTGGTCCAGTCCAACTTTACACACACCGTGCTCTACATGTGTGCCGTTGCTGCTGAGTGCACCAGCATGCCATGCCTTGTTGCATTTTCTGAAGCTCAAACCCTTTTCAAAATGTACTCACTGAAAGTTTAAAATGGAGCGCATCTAGACTAGTTTTGTTTTTGTTTATTTAATTGTGGTTAAATATACATATTTACATACCAATTCGTTGTCATCAATCCAATTCCAACTCATACCAACCCTATAGGACAGAGGAGAACTGCCCCATAGGGTTTCCAAGGAGTGGGTGGTGGATTCGAACTGCGGACCTTTTGGTTAGCTAAACTCTTAAACATTGCACCACTAGGGCTCCTACTTATACACCAGGTGCCATCAAGTAAGGAGCCATGGTGGCTCAGTGGTTAAGCACTCAGCTGCTAACCAAAAAGTCTGTGGTTTGAACCCACCAGAGGCTCTGCAGGAGAAAGATGTAGCAGTCTACTTCAGTAAAGCCCTACATCTCTTACATTACAGCCTTGGAAACCCTATGGGGTAGTTCGACTCTGTCCTATAAGGTTGCTATGAGTCAGAATCAACTCCACCGCAAAGGTTTTGGTTTTTTGGTTTTGCCATCAAGTTGACTTCAACTCATGGCAATTCCATGTATGTCAGAGAAGAACTGTGCTCCATAGGGTTTTCAGTGACTGAGTTCTTAGAAGAAAATTGCGAAGTCTTTCTTCCAAGGCACTTCTGGACGGACTCAAACCTCCAGTGTTTCAGTTAGCAGTGTAACATGTCACTCAGGGACTCCTATCTATCTATCATCTATCTACCTATCTATTATCCATTGTCATCTATATAACAATACATTTGCCACTTCAGTGACTTTAATTATATAGTAGGCTGGACTAGTCTTTTTATGGAAGCATCTTGTAACTGGTTCTACTTCTCTGATTTCAACTCTTGAGTTTCAAATATTTAACTACAACAGGTGGAGATATGGGTATCCATACACAACAACTTGGGGAGGAATCTATTATATATGTTGTGTGTGTGTTTTTTTGTTTTCTTGTTTTTTTTTTTTGAGTGTTTATGGTTTTATTTAGCACAAATAAAGCTTGCAAATGAGCTGTCTATTCATTTTCTTCTCTCTGCAGCCTGGCATTGGGATTGGTGACTCTGATGGCCAGCTGCACTGTTCTTTCTTCGATGGCTTTGTGGTTCTTAGAAGAAACGCTGTGAGCAATCTCAGCACAGTAAGATTTGTTGCACATCAGCAGCACTTCCAGCTCCTTAACATTGTGGACCAGGAACTTGTGGAAGCCACTGAGCAGCATGCGTTTCATTTTTTTGTTGCTCCCATAACCAATGTTGGGCATCAAGATCTGGCCCTTGAATCTTCTCCGCACCCTGCTGTCAATGTCTCCTGGTTTGCACCAGTTATGCTTAATTTTGACACAACAGTCTGGTTGGTGCCAGGTGAACTTCTTGGTCTTCTTTTTGAAAATCTTGAACTTCACCGGGGTCTGAGGGCAGCCATAATGCCTTCAAGAAAGAGGTAAATCCATGTCAAAGGAGAGTTCTGGAAGAAGTACTTCCTGCTCATGGCTTGAACATAGGCACAGAGTAGCTTCCAATCACCACCTACTGAGCAAACTGGGAATGAAATGGGCCTCTGACAGGCTTGCTTTCCCTCCCATCTCCAAAGCTGGTGGAATATTAGCCACTCTCCAGACATGATCCTGGGAGGTCTATACATGTTTCTTT